ACTAGTACTGAAGAAATTTTTAATATGAGCGGCTCTTCTTCTGGAGGGACCTACTTTTTTAGTGACAGTAAAGACGATGAAATGATACCGGACGATGAAGTTATTTCGCAACCTCTACTAAGAAACCCTAATGTGGGTGATTTTGTTATTATTTTAATAGAAACAGAAAAGAAGAAGAAATATTATTATGTTGGAAAAATTCTAGAAGAGTAATGAACCAGGCTATGACTATTATATCTCCTATTTAAAATTGAAGAGCAAAGTTTACTACAAATTCGCTGAGCCTCTTGAACCAGATATGGCCGGGGTCACGAAGAATGATATTAAATTTATATTGCCTACCCCCAAAATCGATGGTAGTAGCCGTCGCCAAACAACATATAAATTTGCAGTTAACCTAGCACTATTGAACTTTCCATATTGATTTTATCACTCTCAGCATTGCTTTCGTTTTTTGTTAATTATTTTATTTTAGAATAAAAAGTTTCATATTGATTAAAATAATTGAAGACTGTTTAAAATTAAGTTTATTTTACGATGGATATCATAGAGTAAGTTTTATAATAATTATTAGAACTTGCTCAAGTCTAAAAAACTCGTTGATTGTTATAAGTTTATTTGATATTGTTATAAATAAAACTAGTATTGACTACAAAAATCTAAATAAGAAGAAATAAATAAAAATATGACACTTTATACTTTTATAACGCCTACTTTGTATACCTTTATAGTGTTAGACAGTTTGGTGAATAAAGTTCATTTCATATTGTCAATTTTTATTATTTTTTTAAACATTAAAATACAACTTGCGGTGGTTCACCGTATACCCTATGGTTCACTGTAGACCTACCCCCTGGTTCAGTGTGTACTTGGTTTGTACACAGTGAACCATTTCCAGAATTAAAAAAAAATATGAATTCTCGCTATTCTAATAAGTTTAATGCTCAATTTGATATACAGATTTAAAGTATATTTGACACAAAGTAATCTATCAAAAAAGATCTTTGTTACAGTCACATATAATGGACTTCTGAGCGTCTATACTTTTAGTGGTTCACTGTTGGCCACCTTACCCTATGCATGGTCGTAGTTTCCCGTTAAGTATTTAAAAAGGCAATGGAAGCAACTACAGTAGAAACAGGACTTGTTCAACAAAGCAGCATGGAAAAGGATGTCCAAAATATTTGCCGCATCAATCGATGAGACGTCAGCAAAGGCAGCATCAGATAAGAAGGTACCAGTTTCTATTTTATTTGATCATAGCGATGAAGATTTTATAGATTCAGACACGGATCCTACTTTTGTAGTACCTGTTAAAGAAATATCTCGGACTCTTGTAATCCCTAGAAGATTATCCTCTTCATTTTCCTCGAGCTCCTCGTCAGACTCAAGCTCATCATCGTCAAGTTCCAGCAGCTCAAGTAGTTCATCTGATAATTAATTCAATAGACCGGGTCCATCTACAGCAAATATTCAAGGGAATTGCTTTTGCCATTGACACTGCTCCATCAAGAGCTACCCCAAGATAAGTAATTAGAAAGATAAGATGACTATAGATCGTCATCGCCCGAATACTGATGATCGCCGGCATCGCCCGCCCCTACACTATAGTATACCATAGTATAGGGGCGGGCCTGTCGGTAAACTGGCACGAATCAAAGGGATTTGTCGCGCCAATATTTGCTTAGGTAGCTACATCTACATCAATTCAGTGTCGTCCGGACTTTGAAGCGAGACGGACGTACATTAAATTTTTTACACTATGGAGTTAGAATTCATTCAGTTGTATGAAACTGAGAATATTATATGGAATCCTAGTGACCCCGACCATAAAAAGAAACACTTGGTACATGATGCGTGGATTCGAATTAAAATATGCTCAGTTGGCCTACCACAGTAGAAGAAATAAAGAAGAAAAAAGATTCATTGATGGCATATTATGGAGCCCATGTTAATAAAATTAAGAAATCGATTAAATCAGGAGTTGGTACCAACGACGTAAACCAGACAAATTGGTTTGCCCTTTGCATATGATATTTTATCTGTGTTAAAACGTGTTGGTGAATTTGTGTTGTGAAAAATGGGAAATTCGTGATGAAAAAATTGTGGCCGCCACTATAGGTAATGGTGCAGTACAGTAAAAGCCATTGAATTAGCATTTGGAAGGGCAAAGCATATTCGTTGCCTAGCCCACATATTAAATATTGTTGTGCAAAATTCAGTCATGCTGAATGAAATAAAAATATTCATTGTTAAAGTTCGCAGAATTGTACAATGGTTCCATCAGAGTGGAGTTGCTATAGACCAATTGTGATATTTTCAAAAGGCTGAAAATGTACCGGAAATAAAAATTAAACACCTGTTAGGAGATGCTTCAACACGGTGGAATTCACAATTGCATATGCTTGAAAGTTTTATAGCTATGAGTGGGACGGTAGGCGGCATTTTGTTGAATTACCCTAATGCTCCTCTTATGATTCAAGCTAGTGAAATTGCTGTACTGAAAGAGGTCGTAAAAATTCTTACTCTTCAAAAAAAGAAGCAAAGAGATGTGCGCTGAAAATATGTCAGCGCCAGTAAAGCTATTCCCATTATAATGTGCTTAAAACAGTTTTTGGAAAAAACAGGGCCTCTAGCCAAAAACCACTTTAGCGCTTGTCTACAGAGAGAGTAGATATCAAAATGTATGGGGATGACACTGACAAGTGTCAAAATTTACGTCAATTCCATATAATTTGGTTTTCTATTCTACATGTAGACAAGCGCTAAATGGCATTTGGCTAGCACTGCTGATCCATCGCATGATTTCGCAGTTGCCATCTAGCGCATTCACGAGGTACTATTGTAATCAGCGATATCTTCTGGGTAGACAGTGTCATTAAATATACTGAAAGCATAGATACGCAACTATCTCAGTATATATTGTAGTCTATGCACAATCGTATGTCTAGTATTCTTCCTGTTGCCATAATCATTGGAATCTTAAGTATTGTTGTATCTCGTAAATATATTGTTAGAGATTAGTAAATTAAATTTTTTATACCTTATTACTTTTGATTTTCAGAGCTTCAAGTGAAACAAATGAAGTTATTTCTGCAAACAAAATAACAAAACAACAATGTTTCTATTCCGTTTTATTTTTATTTCTATTTAGTATTTATCTATTTATTTATATGAGATCTTGGCAACAGGCTAGTGTTGAAAATCAGCGCCGCGACTCGAGCAATCGCGCTCGTGACACATTTTAGCTGAGCATTGGCCTTTTTGCACCTTGTACACTGTTGTTTTTTTATTACTATTTTTTTTCTTGTCCTTTCTGTAATGGTGCAAATAAACTGTTTTTCTTTCTTTCTTTCTTTCTAGTGATGTTGATCTCTTCTTACATAAAGATGGAGAAAAATACACGTCTTCAGCATTAACAAGTAGATGCGGGTCGTTCACCGACATTTCGACATCTAACATGGTGGCGCGGCGTTAAAGCCTGCTCAATTATCCAAGCAATATGTCACAGTTACGGCGCACATTGCTATCGTCGGTTTGAAACATTTTTTTTTAATCTACCTGTCGTGAATTACTTTTTTATTATATCTCTTCTCCGCTCAGTCTTCACACGGAACAGAAGCGTTTTTTGTATTTTTACAAATTTTCACAGAATTACACGTTGTCACAGTTTTCTAGGGTTTTATTTCTAAAACAAGTAAGGAAATACGACTCTCAAATGTCTCACAAGCAGACATAAATTTGGCGACCGTGACAGGACTGGACACGCAATCAAATTTGCAAGTCACTACTCCCATAGTCAGGAGGACGTGCCTCATCAGGGATTGAATGCCGTCAGGAGCCGGCGGCTAGGCAGCAGCAAGACTTAGTCACGACCGCGGCAGCAATCTTCTACAGAGATAAATGTCCTAATCCTTTTTTTTCCTCATATCACACTAACCATTTCCTATTAATCATCATTTTATTGCCTTCACTGTGTATTCAAGGTCACAAAAGGCAATCATCAACGTCTATTCATTACTCGTCAAGTATTTTTCTTATTTAAACTGTCAAATACCAAGCGGTCACCGGTGACCGCAACCTATTGTTCTATAATTGTGTCTGCAAAACCGGTACTCGACGAGTTAAACGCAAATTATCATCTTTTATTGTCGTAAAGTTGACCGGGGTCCAAAGGTCACACCTGGTTACACGTGTAAAAGTGGTTGCAAATTCAACATTGCCCACTTAATATCCACTTATTTGTTGCCCATTTACAATTTTAAACGATTATTAGTTAAATTAATCCTATTTCAGGTAAAAATAACCGTTATTTATTGAGTTTTCGTTAATATTTAAAACTTTCGAAACTTAAACGTTTTCCATCTCATTATAACAGCATTAATTAGCAAACATTACATCAATAACAGTAATATTTCATCCTTTTCATTGATTTTAAAGATTTTATTCAAAAATAACTTGACATTTTTGCAGTTTAGTTCACAGTTAATATCGTTAGGTAATTGTTCACAGTCCAGTCATTTCTTGTTTTTGACCCGTTCTGCCGAATAATTTGATCAGAGTTGGTGGGAGGATTCAAGCCTCAGATTTTCCACATGAAAAGAAGCATCAAGTACTTCTTTACTACTCTCACCCTCTAACCAAATTGTTCTTTCGACGCGAACACATTCGTCAGATGCACGCCGGGCCACAACGCTTGTTAGCCACAGCTAGGGAAACTATCTGACCTATCAACGGTCGTCAACTGCGTGACATGCCGGCGCTTTCAAGGTAAGACCCTACAGCCCAAAATGGGGAATCTTCCAGCACAGCGTGTCACTGTCAGCTTTCCGTTCCTTTCTGTTGGTCTAGATTTTGCTGGCCCATTTTTTATCATCAATCGAAAGGGACGAGGAGCAATACTGACAAAATGTTATTTGTGTTTATTTATTTGTATGCGGTACAAGTGCATACATTTAGAGGCAGTAAGCGGCCTATCCAAAGATGATTTTATTATGACTATGAGACGATTTATTGCACGACATGGCAAGCCATCGGAAATATTCTCCGACAATGGCCGAAATTTTGTCGCAGCGGCTAGGGAGTTAGGCACCTTTTTAAAACCCAATAAACACTTGCTTTCTGACTTCGCTGCACAAGAAGGTATACGTTTTAATTTCATTCCCGCTTACTCCCCTCACTTCGGCGGCATTTGGGAATCAGGCATCAAATCCGCTAAACATCATATAAAACGTGTCATAGGCAATCTTCATCTGACGTTTGAAGAATTACAGACTTTATTTGCACAAGTGGAGGCGATACTAAACAGCCGTCCCTTGTGTCCCATGTCCTCCAATCCTAACGACTTCCTTTCCCTCTCTCCAGGACATTTTCTCATCGGGAGAGCGCTGACTGCGGTCCCATCACCCCTTCTCGAAGATGAGGATCCAAACAAGTTAAAGAGGTACCAAAAATTAGAGCAAGTTTGTCAACATTTTTGGCGTCGCTGGCAAGCCGAATACAATAACGAACTTCAAAGACGACAGAAGTGGATGAAGGACACTACGCAGCTCAAAGTGGATGACTTAGTCCTAATCAAAGAAGATCTACCACCTTTGTGTTGGCGACTCGGAAGAGTGACAAGGCTGTTTCCAGGACCCGATGGCGTGGCACGAGTGGCAGACGTAAGAACCGCAACGGGCTGCCTTCGACGAGCTTTGGCTCGGCTGTGCCCTCTTCCAAGTCAAGCAGAAGAGCCTTAGTTGAAAGAGGAGCCTTTCAACGGGGGGAGCATGGCGCGGCGTTAACGCCTGATCAATTATTCAAGCAATAACATTTGAAACTTTTTTTTTAATCTACCTGTCGTGAATTACTTTTTTATTATATCTCTTCTCCGCTCAGTCTTCACACGGAACAGAAGCGGTTTTTGTATTTTTACAAATTTTCACAGAATTACACGTTGTCACAGTTTTCTAGGGTTTTATTTCTAAAACAAGTAAGGAAATACGACTCTCAAATGTCTCACAAGCAGACACATGGTATCACTAAACTCATCATTTAATGAAGATCAGCTGTTTAATTTATTAGAAACTCCACCACAAAAGGAATAAAAACTATAAATCCTGAAACAAAACTACTTAAATCTACTGATACGACCTTACCCTCAAGCTCCAACCAACGTGAAAAATATAATATCATCAAATCCACTACCGAGGAACACACCTCAAACAATAGATGCAATTTTTGATAGTGATTCTGATGAAGTTAGTAGTATTTCTATTAGTGAACCTTCTCCATCGGAAGATACTTCTTTAAAAGAAAATTCCCGCTACAATACAAACCCATCTTCAGCTACGAATGATGATGAATGGCAATTAAATAGATTTAGAAAATGAAGGGCGTATTTTCGTAGCAGACAATTTTTATTCTTTTGTTGGACTAACTGAGGCTCTGATCGACAAGAAAACTTTCTATTGTGGGACTTTGCGATGTAACAGAAAAGGGTACCTAAATCTGTAGTCAGCAATAAATTGAAGAAAGGTGGCATTATAGGTAATAATAGTAGAGGGATTAAAGTAATTAAGTGGTTTGATAAACGTCCCGTTTTGATGATGACTACGTGTAAAAGTCATGATACTTCACTTTAAAATATTGGAAAAAAGGGAAGAAAAACAAATGAGGAAATTTTGAAACCTGAATGGGTACTGATTATAGCGATCATGGTGCTTACTCTTGAATCCAATTCCGATCGATCGACATTGACATTGTGAAATTCCGTACTCTTGAGTTGTAACACTAGCGCAGTTTGCATCCGTATTGCGTGGATATTTCATGAACTAAATGGTATTAAGTTTGGTTTTATGTTCCGTACTCTAAATGCTACTTTAACAGTTACGATAGGGGTTGTATAGTTTTGACATTGGATAATTATTGAGATTTTATTGGATTGAAATTGCATTGACATTGAGATTGTTTTCAAGAGTAAGCACCCAGATGTCTTCATATTATTATTATCATCCACATTAAGGCGCGGCCTTAAATCGTAGATACCTACTGGAGATGCGCCGAGTAATACTTTTGCCGAGTACCGAGTACCGAGTTTTACTCGGCTCAATTTTTTTCAACCGAGTACTCGGCCGAGTAACTCGGTTCAATCAAATTCCTATTTCGCGCCCGTAAGCAAGTACAAACAGGTTCGCGCCGGTTGGTACACCCCTTACCCCGCCCGCGCCTATCAACTACCAGTCGCTTGGTGTTTGCAAACCAATACTTCACTGCAATCGAATGCAATGAAAATACAGCAACCCTTTTCGAGTCATTTACTACAAAATGGGAGACAACTGATTCGCGTGCTAAAGAAATTCACAAAGTTGTAGCGGAGATTATTGCGGTAGATAACCAACCAATATCTATGTTGGAAAATAATGGGTTCCTAAGATTAATGAATACCTTGAAACCCAAATACCAAATTCCTAGTTGAAAGTACATGAGTGAAGTTGTGTTACCAGAAGTTTACACCAAAGTAAAAAACGTAATAAGAGCGGAAATTGCAAAAGCTAATCTATATCAATAACTACTGATATCTGGACCTGCACGAATAACTTACTCGGATTCTTAAGCTACACCGCTGGCTAGACGACGAGTTTGAGCTTCAGCACAGAGTATTGCAGATGTCACATTTTAGAGGACCTCACACTGCGGACAATATTCGATCAGTGCCTTCAGATTTATCCGTGAACTGGGATATTGATACTCGCATTCGTCTTATTTTGAGAGACAATGGACCCAATGTGGTGAAAGCAATAAATGATAGTTAATATGTTGGCAAAGGATGCTATATACATACGTTGCAATTAGCCGTAAAAGCTTCGTTAAAGGAACAAAATGTAATCAACGTTATTGGCTTAGCTAGAAAAATTGTAGGCCACTTTAACCATTCTGTAGCGGCACAAGAAAATCTAACCCTGATACAAAAATAACTAAAACTGCCAGAGCACAAACTCGTACAAGATGTGACTACAAGATGGAACAGTACTTTTTACATGATAAACAGATTGTTAGAGCAAAAAAGGGCAAATCTCTCTACATCACGGACAACCCAAGTACAGCCAATCTACAACAATTAACTGAACGTCAATGGGAGATCCTACGAGAGTGCATTACATTACTCAAACCATTCGAAGAAATTACTAAAATTACCAGCTCCACATTAGCACCAATTTCTGAAGTAATACCCTACACCAATGCCCTATTAAAATATTTATCAAAACCTGAAGTCTCCCAAACTTGCCCAAATATAGCAGATATGAAACAAAAACTTGAAGGTGAAATTAATTTCAATGGTTAGAAAAAGTTGAATTTATTAATTTAATTCATTATTTCATTGCCCGAATCTATCCCCTGGTCTAATAAATATCTACCCTGATCTTGACATCTCTACCCTGGCCTTGATATTTACCCTGGCCTTCTAAAAAGTAATAAAATATGGGTGAAGTAACCTGCCATTGGGCGAAAAGGTTAATCAATGGGTTAATTAGCATAATTTAACATTTTCATTAAAAAAATCCAACTTTTCTCCCTGACCGCATCTTCTATGGGCTCGAAACCTTTCATCATAGAACTACCCATATAAGGAAAATTTACCAGTCCATAGGTACATTGCCGTCCATAAAGTACAGCTGAAAGTACAGCTTAAAGTACAGCTGTCCATAGGTACAATCATGAGACGTACCTGTGGACACATCTAGTGTTTTTAAAAAAAGTAATTTATTATAATAATTATAATTTGTACAAAACTAAGGACTGCTAATTGTTAAGCATTAACTATTACTGTAATAATATTTGTGATACTTTATAGCTACTAAATTATAATTAAGTCATAAAAAATTATTTTCATTCAAAATCCGGTGAATGTCGACAGGTATAACACCTTCCCCTACTAAGAGCACATTTCTAGATGAACCTGACCAGACTTCTTCACAATAACTAAATTATCAAAACAACTGGGATCACTTGACAAACAGTTTTTCATTTTATTCTTTAATAGCCACCAAATCTCCAAAGACAGAGACGAAATAACTCTCAAGAAAATATTGAAATAATTTATTCTTAAACCAACAAGAAGCTTCAAATAGTAGATTAACCCTTAAATGCATAGTTTATCAAAAATGATAAATAACTTTTACACACGCATAACTTCCGAAAAAAAAAAATTAAGTAACGAAACGTTTTTGGACGACCGTTTACGTGTCATTCTTATAATCTGTCAACATGACAAAATACTATCTGGGCTGTGATTGGTTGAATTTGACATTACAAGCTGCAAGGTCGTAATACTTATACGGGTACGAATTTGAATATTTCTATCGGTTCATATCTAATATAAAATAACGGTTATTTACAAAGAAAAAAATACTTTCTGAAAGGTAAGATCTCTATATTTCGTTTTGATCTATATTTTGTTTTGATATGTTTATTTTACAACTGAATATTGTGGCATTGTACTAAATTTGCTTTGGTATGTTGTTATCAAAAATGATAATCTATATGCATTACCGGTGTAAGTTTTTCTTACTATGAATGTATAAAATTATTCTTACAATGCTATGCCTTTGAAGCAATTTCTATGTCTTTTGGTGTTGGGTTGCATGGTTTTATTATAATTTTAGGTCTCTATTGGTATATCACATAGAACATGAATGATAGAGATATTGAAACACTGTTATCTCAACTGGAAAATGGTGATATCTCTGAGGATGAAGAAAACATTGATGAAGATGCTCTGGATTACTATGACAATCTAAATTAATTGCTCGAAGACCTTGAAGATGTAGAACAGGAAGTAGAAGAAGAAAATGGATTAAGTACTAATCAAGACTGTGATTCTCCATTGGTGACTGATGATTTGTCAGAAATTGAATCAAGGCCCATTAATTATACTCAAGTAAGAAATTTAGTATGGAAAAAGAAAAACAAGCCTTTGGTTGATCAAGCTCTTACCTTTCTTGGAGTCACAGCCTACCCTCTACATATTTTAGATTTATCCACTCCATACCAATTTTTTTCATTGATGAGACGAACAAATATGCTGTACAAGTAAATCCTAATTTTTCCGACCCTATCAACTTATTAGAGCTTCGTAAATATCTTGGCATTTTGATATACACTTCAGTATATCATTATCCTAGCATTAGATCTTATTGGGCACGAGCTGTAGAATTCCATCCAATTTCAGAGACAATGACAGTAAACAGATTCGAAAAGATCCGCCAAATGATTCATTTCAACGACAATAGTAATCACCTACCTCCTGACCATCCTGAGCACGATCGATTACATAAAATACGCACAGTAGTAGACCATCTCAATAACCGATTTATATCAGTCCCGTTTGAACATCGCCTGTCATTAGATGAACAGATGTGCTCCACCAAAATTGGTCATTTTATGAAGCAGTATTTGCCGAAGAAACCACACAAATGGGGATTTAAATTATACGTGCTTTGTTGCCCAATGGGCTATGCCTATAATTTTGAAATTTATTCAGGGGCTCCTAATAACCAAAGACTACCAAATGAACCCGACTTAGGAGTAGTTTCGAATACAGTCATAAGTTTGCTTCAACCAGTACCGAGAAATGTAAATCATATAATATATATCAATAATTTTTACACAAGTTTGTCACTATTCCATTATTTATTCAAAGAAGGTATTTATTGCTTGGGGACAGTACAGAAGAATAGACTGGGAAAAACATGTAAAC